ATGCATTTTGATGGATCTTGAATTTTTTAAAAATAATGTTAGCAATCGACTTAGAACAACGTGAAATCATAACAATTACATCATTTGTCTTATCAGTTTTACTAGTGCTGTGGTGTGGGTTACTTATATCCACATAAGTAGTATGTAACGATGGTCAGGCATAGTATGTATTTCAGTAGCAGATCGATAACGAAAGAACAAGAACAAAACGTACTTGGTATGAAAATACATGAACCGTAAAATAGGAGACGATAGACTGACGTCTGTAGAAGCAACGATCAAAATTGAGACAATCGATTCATAGTTTTCAAATTAACAGTTTACTGTATGGCTGTCAGTTTTTAACAAGAAATTCCGTAATTTCGTGCCAATTACATTCGATTGTCTACACTATTGTTCTTGTTCGCTTCAGTGCTATTGTAGATTCCAGATAATTGTGTAGTAGAATTGTAACCAACCTGGAATTACATGACTCTGTACAGAGATACTAGTTTTTTTTCGAACTAGTTTGTTCTTTTATACACTATCTAGGTGTACGCAAGTACTTACTTACTTATAAGCAAAGATGGATAGTGACTAGCAGTGGAATCCAGGACGCGCGTTTCATCCTATTTGGAACTCGTCAGCTGGATGTACCTGCTATCAGGACTCAGTGGCCGAGTGGATAACGCGATCACGTTTGAAGTGAAAGGTACTGGGTTCGAGTCCCAGAGTGAACATCAACTCTGAGATGCAGATACATCCAGCTGACGAAACCCAAATAGAACGAAACGCGAGTCCTGGATTCCTTTGCTAGCTACTATCCATCTCTGCTTACCATGCTTGTGAATTAAGGTTGTATCGAGGCCATACGCACAGTATGCACATATGCCAATTAGAGACTGACCAGTTGCAGTTCTAAGCTGCGATTGAAAGATTAAAAAAGAATACTCAATGAACTTACTTACTTTCATACATATATACATGCATAGATACATACATACATACATACATACATACTTAATTACTTACTTACTTACTTAGGCCTGTTACCCCCCAATGGAGAATAGGCCACCGATTAGCATTCTCCAACACACGCAAATACATTATAGCTATTTTCAGTACAGAATATATTCATTAAGTAAATAATTTAACTAATCTTCTCCTTCAAATTGTCAAAATGTATTTGTTTAAATCATTTTAAAAACACATGACATTGACATTGTAGAGTATAATATTTAATATTGAATATGTCTTTCTTTTTTTACTGAGATGACATTTTAAAACAAAAACCCGCGTAAAAAAATACCCGCCAAAAATATTGAATCATTTAATTTTAAATTGAAGACAAAAACTATACAAATTTTAAAACAAATCCATTAAAGAATTTCATTCTCATTTTAATAGTGTAGATGACTGAAGGGAGTTTTATGGAGATTTTTTGTAATTTTATAGTTGAATTCATATATCAATTGAAGCTAGACTAACATGGAGAACCTGGAAACACTGGATGGTTATTTGTGAAAAGAACAATGTTATCAAAAGGTATTTAATGTGATAATTAATTCTAACAAACGCTTCAAACGCCATCGCGTTATCCACTCGGCCACTTAGTCCTGATAGCTGGTTAGTTCACAAATATGAAAATATACATTAATTGAATTCACTTAGTATTGTTTGTTTGAATCTTCCCATTGATGCCTAGGACTTCAACTGGTCAGTCTCTTGTTGGCATATGTGCATACTGTTCGTATTGCCTCAATATAGACTTAATTGACATAATGAACAATTAGAAATTGTGGAAAGACGTTGTTTGTATATGAAAGACTTGATTTGTAAGTGAGTGTTAAGTAGATGTCTTCAGTCGATAGAAACTGCAGATATGTGTTTTGTGTTAGTTGGCACTTGTCAGTAAATGTTCCCTATGATATTTGAATTCAACTGTTCAAGCTTTATAGTATATGACGTTATAATATAGAATTATTTGTATGTTGAACTGAATTTATATGTGACTGAATTATTTGAACTTAATTGAACAGTGAATATTGGAGAATGTCATATTTGTTTAGATAATCCAAACTATTTGAAATTGAATTGAATGTAATACTCGTTGCAAAATCGAGTGGCTATGTGTACTAAGTAGTAACGTAGATGAGACGATGACATTTTTAAAAAAAAAATGGTAGTGATTTCGAGTTCCGAGAAATCAAATCAGAGATGAAGATCAATACAGTTAACAAATCCTTAAATAAAAGGTAAACCATATCCTGGATTCCACTGTGAACGACATTGCATTTGTTCTATTGCTGTTTAATTATTTTACTGTTGACTCTATTCCACTGTTCATTACCCAAAAATTGTATGTGAATGTATTGTAGAACAATATAATTGTATAGTCTATTCAATTTAAAAGTTCATATGTTTCATGTGGAGATGAAGTAGTTTAAGGAAGCAATACAAAAACAGTAATGAACTAATCGATAATGAATAGTCAATTAAAATAAATAGATTTCTACATCTACTTCCTAAAGAAGTCTTGCCAAGTTTATTCATGAATGTTGTTCAGATGATAATTTTTTTATTTTCATTTGAGAATCAAAAAAGAGTGTTACAATGTAAAATATTAACAACTCAATTACAAAACTGATAGTTGATCTTCATAGTTAAAAGCATTAGTCAAATGAAGTTAGACCACCAAGGAGAATTTGAAAGCACTGAAGGGCCGTAATGATGATGATGATGATGATGATGATGATGATGATGATGATGATGATGATGATGATGATGATGATGATGATGATGATGATGATGATGATGATGATGATGATGATAGTTGATCATTAAATGAAATTACTTAGAAATTAGCTAAGCACTTGGTACAATTAAACGTTTTTTACTTGCATTTTGTTATAAGTACAATGAATAGCTTGCATTCAACTAGATGATTTAGACTTCGTTGATGACCTATGTCTTTTATCCAATACACAGAAACAAATATAGACAAAGACAACGAATGTAGTAGCAGTTTCTACATCATTTGGCTTCAACAAACACAACGGAAAAAGCAAGTTGCTGAAATACAACTCGGAGGAAACTAAATCATTCACCCTTGATGGAGGAACTCTCGATGATGTGGAAACTTTCATATATCTAGGCGGCATTACAGATGAACAAGGAGGATCCGATGTAGATGTAAAAGTAAGAATTGGTCAAGTGAAGCCAGCATTCCTACCATTGAAAAACAAATGGAATTCAAAACAACTGTCAACCAACATCAAAGTCACAGTCTTCAATATGAACGTCGAGACAGTCCTATTTTACGAAGCTGAAACTTTGAGAACTACTACAACAATCACCAAAAAGGTACAATTATTTATAAATACACTGTCTACACTAGATACTCAATATCCATCAACAAGATACGATCAACAACAGTGCACTATAGTAGAGGAGGAAGTTATTAAAAGACGTTGGAATTAGAAAGGATACACACACATCTTGAAACTGCATGACGAAACAAACGCAAACTTCAAATGATGAATGGAAACGGAAAACAAAAAGACCGAAGAATACACTACATTGGGAATCGGTAGCAGATCTCAAAAGAGTGAATAGCGAATGAGAACAAGTGTAAAGGATTGTCCAGCATAGAATTGGATGGAGAGACGTGATGGGTGGTTCATAATCCTCCAAGTGGAGTAACAGTCGTAAATAATTCAGCAAGTTGCAAAAATATGTTGGATTACTCTACAGTATCAGTGTAATCTTATGATGATCTGGAGACGTGATATTACGATGGATATCCAATTCAAACAATCTTATGTTTTCTTGTCTCGCAGCTAGTCCATACATATCTCATAAACTGCTCATTTTAATATAATAATCATGTAGTCACTAGAGATGAATCTCCTATTGTATAAGTCACACAGTTTGAATGGCTAGTCTTAATTAGTGGACTTTTTGAACCAAATCAGGAATGTGGTTGTTACCCCCAAACCCGATAGTTTTGAATGAAATTTTCACAATATCAAAAATTATTCTGGATCAAAACGTCAAACAACATAGTTGAATGTCGGCATCGTCAAAATGATCTTGATCATTATTATTATGTAATCAGGATATAAAAGTACTATTGAGATTGACAATGATCTAATTAAAACATAATTATAAATTTCCTTTTAAGATTACCGCTTGTATGTAAATTATGTAACTTATGGATGTTTATCTCCACAAGAAATGACAGAATGTTTTTTTTTTGGTTTTTACCTAACATAATTGATTATACATAGGATGCAAATCAGGGAAAAGAAAACGTTGTGATATGTTATAACCTAATCAATCAATGAGAAGTCAACTTATCCGGTACGGTGTCAGTGGAACGATGGTTTTGTGTTTAATTGGGGGGAATACTGTCGTCTATGTTGATTGGGCAATGTAATTATTCTATTTGAATGACATAAGTGAATCATCTCAGTGGTCTAGAGGTGAAGTGTTCACTTAAGAGTCTGAAGGTCGTGTCATCAAATGTCAGGTATGGGATTGTGGATAAGCATTGTCGAATAGTCTCATACTTGGATGAAACAGATATCCAGTACTTTCAGGTGTTCAGTGGTGTACTCATATTGATCAGTTTAATGATTTCAATAAAAATTCAACAATTTCTACAACCCTATACTGATAAAATATTCATGTGAATGTTTATCATACACATGTTCACTATCGGAACTACTCAGACTACGTGTATACATGATGGATATTATGATGAATTGTCAGACAGGATATCATATATTTCAGTAATTTCGGAAGTGATGTATTTGGTTTGAGGGATGTTTTGAAAAGTTGAAAAGCTTAAGGCTGTAACAAGATCACTCAATGTTTCTTACTACTTTAATAATGAAGTTTGTCTCTTGATGACTGATTGCCTGATTGTTTCTTATTCTTTACGTTCTCGTATGTTTGAAGATGACGTTTTGATTTTTGTTGTCTGCAGAGTTGAATTGATTCTTTTTCTTCTTTTTCAGGTTTACGCTGAATATCCATGTTCTTTCAATGTTAGTGGTAAAGTGTTCAACTGTTGTATGTTACCTTCTGTTATTGATTTAATCAATATAACCATAGATTTTAGAGTAGCCTATTCGTCTCACCATTCCGTAAGTATAGTAGACCCATAGTAAGCTAATAGACGAATCAGCAGAATTTAGGAAACATTTATTCATAGCTATTATTAACGTGACCTTAGAAGAATACAAGCCATTCAGATATACTATAAAAGAAACCTACAACTGACAGAGTAAAATTAGATAGTTAGTTCACATATACGAACAGAAACATTTCCTGCTTATATGCTTACGTAGTTTGTAGTGTTTGGTTGGATTTACGTCATTCATTCATAAGTAATACATAAAATACATTTTACCGATTAGTAATACAGGATCTCAGTGTGATGTGTTCAGTTAATTTCTGACCTTAATATTACTGGAAAATGATCAATGGAGATCATGATAGAAAATGACCACTGTTCTTTCTTAGTCTATTTTGTTATGTGTTCACTTGTGACTCCATACTGACTCAAATGTAGAATGTGCAGATGGATGGTGGCGAGCAGATGAATTCAGGATGCGTCTTTCGTTCTATTTGAGACTCATCGACTGGATGTGCCTACAACCCAGAGTTGATGTTCGCTCCGGAACTTGAATCCAGTACCGCTCACTTCTAACTCCATCATTTTATCCACTTAGTTATTAAGTCTTGATAGTCACTAGTTTGTGCAAGGGAGTGAAGTGTAAATTTATATTGTGTACTGTTTATTTGAATGACAGAAAAGAACACACTAAGCTGGGAAATGTAAACAGACATGAAAAAGATGAATAGCAACTGGAAACAACTGTAAAGGATTGATAAGAACAAAGTTGGTTGGAGAATGATTGTGGTCGTTCTACGGTCCTCTATAAAGTGTAACAAGTAAAAGTAAGTACATGGTTACAGGATGAAGCTGTACTATTCAGATTGTAGCGTTAAAGCCTATATAGTGTTCGGTTCTCCTGTGGGACACGATCGAGCTGTGCTGCTTGGGTTAAGCTAGAGAGTGGTGTGTCGCTCTCCTGTTAAATGGGGTAGAGCTGTTACATATAATCTTAAGATTAGAACTAACAACACTGCACTAGTGTAAGGAAGTAATATGAATACATCATTTAAATTCCATGTATTATCTTGTTTAAAATACTCATTCAAATGTCTAGACAACATGTTTTTTCTTAAAGAAGTATTTATTGATTATAATTACTATTGACAACATTACTAAGCATGTTAAAACATACCTTTTATAATAATTCTTTTGATGTTGTTTACTTGTATTTTCCTATTGATGTTAAGCACTGCAATGGATCAGTCTGTTGTTGGCATATGTGCATCCTGTGCCTAGATATAGCCTTAATTCACAAGCATTATAAGTAAAGATGGATAGTGGCTAGTGGTGGAATTCAGGACGCGAGTTTCGTCCTATTCGAGACTCATCAGCTGGATATATATTTGCATCTCAGAGTTGATGTTCACTCTGGGACTCAAACTCAGTACCTTTCGCTTCAAATGCCATCGCGTTATCCAATTAGCTACTGACTCCTGATAAACACTTACTTGTACAATGGTGTGAAGTTTAAATTCACTTGGTTGATAACGCGATGGCGTTCCCAGAGTGAACATCAACTCTGAGATGCAAATACATCCAGCTGACGAGTAACAAATAGGACAAAACTCTTATCCTAGATTCCACTGCTAGCCAGTATCCATCCTATCTTATAAATCTTTTGTTTTAATGCTTAAATAAACCCAAAATGTAACTTGACAATAATCATTTCTTCGTTTATCAATATTAAGTGAAAAAAAACACAACCCATTCGACTATCATTTACACTCTAATAATGTAATATAAGGTGATAAAGTTATGGTTGCAAAAAATTAAAAAATTAATGATTTATTTCCATGTTGACATTATGAATACTTTGGTCACAATTATTCTAAATGTAAAGTTGCTAATGCATTGAATACATCAGGAAGAATAGAATTACAGGGGAAAAAAAAGGAACCGAACTTCTGTACATAGACATATATACATACGTACATGTGAAAAGCATACATTAAATACTTGATTTTCAAATCTTCCATCGATTGTCTCTTATATACTTTGTTGTTCCTTGATTTTTGTTACTCTCTGTCTACTTATTCATTCTCTTCAATTCGATCTCCTTAACCTTCTGATGTCAGGCATTATGTCATATTTCTACACCACTGTCTGTTATTCCGGCTATAGTCTGGCATCATTAGTCTTAAAAAAATGTTATGTTTTAATTAGTACAATTATACATGAGCTATCGTAAGCTCAACTCTTAGTGTTCACCTATTCCCAAGTCTTTATATATTCTCTACCTTCAATTCAAACAGAAATCAGTAACAATGCTCTCAATAACACAGTTGAACCAACACAACTTTTACCTAAAACATTCATTAGCTTGTGTACACAAATGAACAGACTACACACAGGACACCAAATAAAAAAATCATATTTTGAAAGTAATCATATCATAAGTGATTAAGATCAAAGGAAACTGGAGATGATTATTTGGAAATAGTTCGACATTAGTGAAATGTAATAAGACAGTTTATAGGTACACTGAAAGCTCAAATTGAGAAAAATACAATTATCTTATTATACAATGAATATCTAAATAATAATAGTCCGATAGTTTTAAAAATTCTAATTTTTCAATACTCGATCCGTTATAAAAGGACGCCAATTCAGAAGTCTTTAATAGAGTCACTAACACACACTGCTGAGGAGTCTTATAGTAGGAAAAAAAAGCTGTCCAGTACTTTTTGGCTTCTAATGGTTTGCCAACTGTTATATCCTAAAGAAGAAGAAATGAATGGTAACTGACAGGAATTATTTATGGACTATTAATACAAATATTCCTATTGGATAACTATGAAGTAACCATATTATATAAATATCTATATTCCTTTAATAATAAGACTTCATTTGACTTATTGGCTACTATTATACTATTTACTATTCTTAAGTTATTCCCAATTGATTAGTTACAGTCTCTCACAATCACAGACACTTTTGGACTGATCTTGTATAATTATTATTTTTCATTTTATAGTATGATGTGGTCTGATTTCCTTACATATAAGCCATTTATGACTGAAATACATTATTCATATGATGAAGGCTGAGATTGTATTCTAAACTCAAATAGACAAGGCTAGGCGAGAATAACTAATAAATACTCCTCACACTGGTTAACGCATCATTGTTTTGGCACAATGCCAAGATCATATAAGTCATTCATCTATTGATGATCTAATCACATGATAAATAACAGGGAAAAGTCACAACAAATTCAATCAATGATTTAAACTGTAAATTACATTTACTAATAACAGTCTGCCAAATTTCATGTTGTCAGAACAATGAATAATTCATTTGAGTAGAGATTATCATAGCTCAGATCATTTTCCACTGTATCTTTTTGATAATTATACTACCTAAACTTTACTTGCTTACTTAATTACGTTTGTTAACTCTCGCAGAAAAGCATAGATCACCCACACAGACTATAGGATACAAACTCCAGACCACCTAATCAGAATATAGATTATTTCTATTATATTATATTGACTTCATTTAGATCGCATTTGGTTCAGTGATAATCGAAATGTTTCCTCGTTATTAGTACACATAACTTACCTATAAACTAAGAAACAATATTCCGCATTAGAATTCTCAATTAATAGATCTTAGCAACAAATTTTCAGATATTACATGAGTGAAGCACAAATCACGTATAAATTATATTAGATATGAATACATCAAATTAACCAGTCATATTGTTCTATGATACTCAAAGTATACTTTGATTAACTAATTTATTAATTGATTAGCTTTATAGTTGAATTCATGAGGTTAAGTGATGACGCATGAGACTGATAGGTACTCAGATGAAATCTCATTGGTGGGACCAGAGATGTGCAATGTCGAAGAGTCCCATAATAAGAAGAAACGATCGTCTAGTGCTTCCAGAATTTCCATAGTGGTCTACCTTTATTCGACTCATGAATTCAATTATTAAGTGGTATACCATCATTGGGAAAATCTCGAATTATCTAAATTTTCTCTTTCACTGATGATAAATCGCAGTTCTCATGAACAAACAAGTTCGTTGGAAATTTAATTTTATTCAGATTACTCCACTGAACATTTCTTCATATTGAATAGTTGTCTATTATTCGTTATGTACTCTGAAGTGTACAGTTAACATTTGGAAACCAAGCTGTTGTATTACAATCTCGACTTCTCCTCGGAACAATAACTTCGTCTGATCTCAATAGTTCACTTCGCCTCTCTTTTATTGACACATTGAAACAGATTGCAGTTGACCTATCAAAGTTACTTAATACAATAAACTAGGGAAACATGAATTGAAAACAAAGCAGATAATGTTCTATTTCGAATCAATCAATGAGAAGTATGATATCACAAAATGATATACCCTTTCTCCCCCAGTATGTTATCACATATTTCCAAAGTGAATTCAGTAATTATATACTACAACTGATGTGGTATGTTATGTAATCCAATAGAAATAGGTTTATTACATTGAAATTGTAAACTAGTGTTAATTTCCCAAGTGAATAAAATAATCCATAATCAAAAATTCATTTGTCTAGTATACAACATACTGATAATAATAATAATAATAATAATGGTAATATGAAGAGAAGAATTGTATTGAGTAATCATAGTCGAAGGGATAATATCAGACAATTTGTAAATGTGCATATGAACATGAAGCGATGGAAATGAGATCATCAATGAAAACCTGAAAGTAGTGGATTGATGGTTCATTCTGTTGTGGAACTTCTTGAAGGCTGATTTATTCGATGATGTGATTGAATAAAATAAGAAACAAGTAAACCATTTGAAAACATTTGATTACATTATACAATAATTTCCGATTACCTAATTACTTACTTACGCCTGTAATCCCTAGAA